GACACATTTAATTTATAATGTGTCTTAAATCTCATTTTGTAAAAAAAATAATAATAAATCGAATCGTGAAATCAAAATTGTGAATCGAATCGTGAGTTGAGTGAATCGTTACATCCCTAGCGGTATTTTAAAAAATCCATATCATAACAAAAATAAACACCGGTATTCGGTATAAACCGGTATACCGCCCAGCACTATGTAATCATTTAAAGTAATGAGCTAAATAGAAATAACAGGACTAGCTAGATCATTTTTTTTTATTATTTTAATTTGAGTTATATTATTGTTTTGTTTTTTTTTTTGCTTTTTTTTTTACATATTTTAATCTTAAATATTGAGAATGCTTATCCAAAGTCAAATTGAACTGCATTGACACAAATATACATTAGGGTCCAACTTGTTTTCACTCAGAGTAGTGAAATGTTATTTATTTAATACTAATTTTTCATGGCAAGTTATGTTACCATCATTTTAAAAACTAAAATGGATTTTGAATGCTAGATTTTCAGTTTGATATCAGACTGTACATAATTAATACAAAAAGAGATTAAAAAAATTATGCAACCTTGCAAAAAAAAAGTGTAATTGCCATTTTATTTTAATTATTATAATAAAATGTAAAAAAATTTAAATATAAGATTTCTGGACCATATTTTGTATCTGAAGACATAATATTGGCTGTCTGTGCTAGAGCTCAAAACAGCAGCATTCACTGCAATATGATTCTCACTGGAACTGCAGTGTCCATAATGATCCGTTATTAGGTCCCAGCTGCCTCTAATGATCACAATCTGGGACTTTTTGCAAAGAAGCCTAATGCTGTATTTATTATGGGTCTGTTTCAAGATGTCTGTGTGTCCACTAGTGTAAGTGTCTAAGGCTGATTTCCACTCACATTAAAGCACAACCCATCACAATCTGTTTCAACCCTCGCTGCGTGCCAGAATCAAGAGAGAAAATGAAAGAAAGAGGACAAATGTGCAGCAGCAAGCCCATGTTTCTGAGAAATGGTGTCTCTTCCCAAGAGACCTACGGAAGAATCCTGATTTTGAATCTCCTAGATACCTCTGGTGTCGCTGTATTTTGATTAAAACTGTTTTATCTAGCAATTAATTTGAAATGACGGTAATTTGCCTAATTGCTCCTTCATCCATTAGTTGCATTCGGTTCCCGAGGCTACGTGATTATTCAATCAGAATATGGGGCCCTCTAATTACACCCCGCAAATTTAATTAACATTTCAGCTCGTATCTGAAGACAAACTCGCTCTGCTTTCTATTTCTGGTGGTACATTCAGAAAGAAAATGGAAATTTAGCTTTAAAAAGGGAACAGAAACGGACTAAATGGAACAATTTACTTTTATAGTGAGTTATAAACCTTTTTTTTTCACATATTGTGTGCAAAATTGTTTGCAAACATAGGAAAGTGAGCTTTGACTGCTAATTCCTGTATTCACATCTATTGCACACATTAGTGGTCTTTCTTCCTACTTATCATTCTTCCATCATTCAGTTATTAATCCGCAGTAAGTGCAGCTCTGTAGTAACAGTGAAGTAACAGTGAAACATTACGGCGTCATTCTGTAAGTGCCGCTAATAGCTGATTAATGCTAATAGACCCAATGGAGGCAGCTAACGTAAGCTACTATAGCTGCATCTGTTGACAGATTGTTTGATTAGACACTGTTGTCGCTGGTCAAGTGTGTTATTTAGCATGTATGTTCAATGTGTTGTTAAACTACTCCGAACTTTCTAGAAATCGCATAACATGCTAAAAATAAATCAGAACACCCTACAAAAAGCATAGTAACGTGCAAAAACTACTTAGAGCACCATAACCATTGCACAGCAACATGTTAAAAAAAATTCAGAACACCCTAGAATTCTACTCGGAACACCCTAGAAATCACATATTGATGTGCTAAAAACTACTCGGAGCACCCTAGAAATCACATAGCATGTTAAAAACTACTAAAAGCACTGTAGAAATCACGTGGCGACCTGCTAAAATCTTCTCAGAACACTCTATAAATTATGTAGCATGTTAAAAAGTACTCAAAACCCTCTAGAAATCACATGGGGGTGTGCAAAAATCTACTCCGAACACTCTAGAACTCACACATTGATGTTCTAAAAACTACTCCGAACACTCTAGAACTCACACATTGATGTTCTAAAAACTACCCCGAACACTCTAGAACTCACACATTGATGTTCTAAAAACTACCCCGAACACTCTAGAACTCACACATTGATGTTCTAAAAACTACCCCAAACACTCTAGAACTCACACATTGATGTTCTAAAAACTACTCCGAACACTCTAGAAATCACACATTGATGTTCTAAAAACTACTCCGAACACTCTAGAAATCACATTGATGTTCTAAAAACTATTCAGAGCACTCTAGAAATCACCAGGGGTGTTAAGTAATGAATTACAAATACACATACAAAATACTATACTATGTTTAAGTAGTTTTTATCAGAAATTGTACTTTGAGTAGTTTAAAAATTGTGTACTTGAGTACATTTTAAGTGATGTGTCTGTACTTTTACTCCACTATTTTCCCTCCGTTTGTGGCCATTACATGCTTGTTTTGATTTTATTTTTTATCCATCAGCGTGATTGGATAGGAAGAGGGTAATCGGTCTCGTGACTCTCGCCAAATCAAATTGTGCATACTGCCAACTGCTGTTAATCATGGCTGCTGGAAGTGCTTTCTTCAAGCATCAATTCAGTTATCAGCATCTTCCTCTAATATGTTAAGGTAATTTTTGGATTTCTGCTTACTAAATGATCTGTATAGGCTAGCCTATCAACAAGGCCCGAAATTTGGTGTGAGGTTGCAGGTATTGCGTACAATGTTAATAACTCCCGCAAGTGCCACATTCATAATGTGTTAAATTCATTCCCATTTACTTCAGTATAGCGAAAGACGCACGATCCTGCAGCAGTCATTTGGGGAAGTCGCAGCTCATCGACTCCTGATGAGATTGAGCGCGATGTGCTTGTGAAAAAGTGTGTTGGGAACACTCTAAAACATGGAAATAATGTACAAGATTCTGTATGCACCTTATTGATGAACCGTGGTGTTAATATACTGCATCTGTGTCGGCGCGTAATGTAATAAGTCAGCTCGTTAATAAACTAAGTTTTTTGTTTGATTCATTTTATACAGTCCGCCTTCATTTAGCAAGTACACAAAAAATTCCTTACAAATTGTAGAATCAGCATAACAATTTGAGTAAATGTGTAAAAGGTAAGAGATGATGCTCTGCTTCTAGAACAATGTGCATTTATGTTTAAGTTGTAACATAAATTATGTTTATGATTCTCATTTCTTTATCACAAAACACTAAAACTGGCACCATTTTGGAGAGAAAATGGCTCTTTTTAATCTCTCTTTTAACCCATCTCATGGTGTGTGATGCTGAATTCTTGTATTTGTTTCTAATGGTTTTATATTCTTTGCATTGTTCTAAACAATATTTTATGAGCAGCAATAGCATGCTCTGACTCAGTGGCCTTGCACCTGATTTTAAATCTATTTTTTTCAAAGTTTATGATTTAAATGGTGATGATTGTACTGAGAATAACTCTTTCACCTTTTCATCACTTTAATGGTTTTTCCGTGTTGTTTTGATGCATTTTAAATAGTTGGCAGTCAAAATTAAAACTGCTGGATGATAAATATTCTTCATTCTTTCTGATAAACAACAAAAGATAATGTGAATTACAGTATGTACAATGTTTTCTAATCCACAGCTCAGTACTCACTACTCATGAGTACTTTTAAATAAGCTACTCTTTTATTCTTACTCTAGTCGTTTTTTGGACAAGTACTTTTTACTCTACTCACACTAAATTTTTTTGGAATGTAATGGTACTTTTACTTGAGTATGTTTTTTCAGTACTCTTTCCACCACTGGAAATCACATTTTGATTTTCTATAAACTACTTAGAACACACTTGAAATCTCATATTGACGTGCTAAAAACTACTCGGAACATCCTAGAATAGGCATATTGATGATCTAAAAATTACTCAGAACAGTAGAAATCGCATATTGATGGTCTAAAAACTACTCAGAACACCCTAGAATTGGCATATTGATGTTCTAAAAACTACTCCGAACACTCTAGAAATCACATACTGATGTTCTAAAAGCTACTCAGAACATCCTAGAAATCCCATAGCGACATGCTAAAAACTGCTCTGAACATCCTAGCGACCATATTTCAAAGTATAGCAACAAATCTGTTCACAACAATGGACCGCTGACCAATGAAGTCGAAGTGCATTTATAGCACTTGGGGGTCCAATAAAAGAACAAACGGTAAATACTTGTCATATATCTGTTGAACTGTGTGAGTTGAAGTGCTTTGTATTGAGATTTTGATAACAGCTTCAATGGTGGCTTTCCAGCAAATTATTCCCATGTCCAGCTCCTGAGGCTTTTCTTCGGCAATGGCGGTTTTACGGCACCACTTCTCGTAATAGCCTATTGCCTAATTTCGCTAGCAGTTACAGCTTTTCTTGCTCTTATCATTCACATCTCTCTCTCCTTCTATCTCGGTCTCTCTTATTCATGCTTTGGGGTTTCTAAGTTTGTTCTGCCTTTTGAGGAATAGTACACCCAAAAAAACAAGCATCATAGAAATGGCATAAAACAGAGCCATATGACTCGTGCACTATATTCATAGTCATCTGAAGTAGATGTGTTGGAGAAACCCAAACTGAAGTCATTATTTAAGAACTGAATCAGTTTGCTTTGTGAATGAGCAAATCGTTTGGATAGTTTTTTGTGAACTGGATGAACTGTTTAATTAATAAGATTAAAAAGGCTTTTCGTTTTGGGGTGAACTATCCCTTTAAAATCATTGCATCTTTCTCTCATATTCATCTCTCGCTGTTTATTTCTCTGCATCCTTTATAGTGTCTTTCCACAGTGGGCTGCATTATACTCCCTCACAGTCTCTTTGCTTTTCTCTTTAAGCAGAAAGCAGGACAGACCAGCGGCCCTCCACCCATGCGCCTCCCCCCACCCTACAGACCCCCCAGCCAAGTGCAGGAGGAGGAGCAGCAGGAGGAAGAGAGCGAGGATGAGGAGCAAGCTAAAGGTGAGAGTCTGCTGATCATGACAAACTGAACTATATGTCCTTTACTTGCATCACTGGCTATGTTCAATCACATACCACCATACTAGTCTATTATTTTGTAGCAAATAGTATGGATATGTTGCAGATTTTCTGTATACATGGAATACCTGTATATCCTAATACATTTTCATTATTAGGGCTGTCTGTTTGTTTATAAATTCTGTTTGAATATGTAGATGTTTAATTGAACGAAATTATTAATAATAAATAATAACAAATAATATTAATAAATAGTATATTAATAAGAGTAAACAAGTTGAATAAATAGATATCGAATTGAATACAATTATTAATAAGGAATGAATATTTGCTTAAATTGTTTAAAGAAGAAAAATATGTTAATGATTTATTTTACATTTGGAATTTATTTAATTTAATTAACATAATAATATTTTTTGTAATCAGTTGACAGCCATATCCATTATAGAGTTGTGCAATTAATTATAAAAACATTAGAGTCAGATATTTTGTATGCTTGGAATACAGTTTGCATTAGGTCTAGTTTAGTATATTTTATTTTATTTTATTAAAACTAATAATAATAATACATTTTGAATCAATTGATTTTAAATTATCTACATTTTTTTTTTAATCAGTTGACACTCGTGCATTTAATTTAATGTGCAGTATATAACACTGGACTGCACTGGGTAATTTGTCCCAGAATGCAGTGCATTGAAGAGGACATTGATTAATTACCATTATAATAACTGGGCCACACTTGCTGAATTAAACATGCAGCTTGGAGAGGTCATGTGACTACTATATACTGTTTGAACCATTTATCATTGCACATATTGCTCAGTATGCTGTAAGCAGTACACTATTATTTTATTCCGAACATAGCCAGTGTCTTAGGAAGTGGCATGCCGAAACATATTGTTTTAAACAATATCTGTAGCCGTACAATAATGTGTCCTCATTACAGCATCCCAGTACCAGATCTCATTCACTAAATCTGGGCTGGCAGACTTTCTCAGCGTCGCACCGCCGTTCTAATCTCTTTCCACTTTGATGGTCCTCAATATGCCGTGCAGGCTGTGCGGCGTCTTTTTCATTCTTGTCCGCCACCAGCCATTTGACTGGCTCTGTTCCCGGATGCTATCCGGCGAGCACTTCTTGTAAAATCTTGTAGTGTGAAATTGAGTCTGCGTTGAGATGTGCGGTATTTAGGAGATGGTGAGTAGGATAGGACCAATGAAGTGGTTGCGTTCAGTTAAAGTTGCGGTGATGTGGTGTAGTGGTTGAAGATCCAGATTGGAAACTTAATTGTGGTGGGTTTGAGCCTTAAAAGGGAAAATACGACCTTTCAGTATCGTGTCCTTGAGTAAGACACTTTGACTTCAGGTTGGTCAAGGTTGCTGACCTTAATGTTTAACAAAGAATCATCATAGAATTGCACATTAAATCCATACACAATGTAGTTTGTCCAGTATTTTTTTTACTATTTACTACTATTTATAGCATTTCATTTGGCTTTCGCCTAGTGTGAAAGTGTCAGTGTTAAAAATGACAGATTAGCATGAAAAACAACTGGGTTGTGACAGTCTTGTGACCAAATTTATATGTTTTAGCAAAAACAAAAGTGAAAAATACAAAGCTGCAGGCTTACACTCTGATTGTGTAGCATTTAGCTTCTGTTAGCATTTAGCATTGCTGTTTTGTGCCACGTACTGTATCTTCATTGCATGCAAATTCTTCTTATGAAGTGATTTTAAATTTAAAAGTCAGCATCTTGAGGCTGTAAAATATGAACATGGAACTTAAGCCCTTAAATTAGTCACTTTTGTTGTTGTCGACCTCTTGTATGTAACCATTTAGCTAAATATAAAGTTTGACAGAGGTACTACTTCTCAAGCTGCTACTTGCTAGTTTCAGCTCATTATTTCCCACATTATTTCCCACCATTTGGACAACATTGTAATGGAGAATGGGTACAAAGCTGCATGTATACAATGCAAATGTATTGCTTGGGCTTCTTTTTTAGGTTTGTGCACTTGTATCTTTAGTGTGCATATATTGTTCTTATAATGTGATTTTCATTTTAAAAGTCAACATCTTGAGGCTCTAAAATATAAACTTGGAACTTAAGTTCTTGATTTTGACACTAATGGTTTTGTTTTTCTGTCCACCACTTATATAAAACAAGCTTACGTTTAGCTAGCAAGGCTAAATATAAAGTTCAGATAAATGATACTTAGTAGTTTCAGCTCATTATTCCCCACATTCTGCACAATTCAGACAAAAAATGTGATGGAGAATGTATAAAGCTGCATGCATACACTGTGACTATGTAGCTGTTAGCTTTTGGCTTCTCCATTTAGTGCTACATACTGTCTCTTAAGTTCAGTTGTTCTGATAAAGCTATTTTAAATATAAAAGGCTCTCAAAACATCTCAAGGCTCTAAAATATAAACTTGGAACTTAAGCTCTTGAATTAGACACTTATGTTTTTGTTGTTCTGTTCACCACTTGCATAAAACATGTTACCGTTTAGCTAGCAAGGCTAAATGTAAAGTTTGATAAAGTACTACTCATATATGAATGTAAAAGAGCAGTAAAACTCGAGAGCTTGTTGATTTGAATGTGAGAACTTGTCATATTAATATTCGTATTTGCAAGTTGAAATTTACGCTCATCTCTGATGTGAAAAGCTGAATCTTTCGATTTGCACACACAAACAATCAAAGCACCCGTGTTGCAGATTAAAAGCTTTTGCTGCTCTTTTACCTTCATACTCAAGCTACTATTTGCTAGTTTCATCTCATTTCTCATATTCTCCATTTGGACAACATTGTGATTGAGAACACCTACAAAGCTGCCGGCATACACTGTGAATGTGTAGCGTTTAGCTTCTCTATTTTGTGCAACATACTGTATCTTTAATTCAGTTGTTCTTATAAGTAAGTTTAAGTTTGAAAGTTTCAGTTTCAAGAAACTCTTGTATTATGTGTTTTTGTTGTTTTGTCAACCTCTTTACAACTAGCCACCATTTACCCATGAAGGCTAAATGTAAAGTTTGATAAAGTACTACTTCTGAAGCCGCTACTTGCTAGTTTCAGCTCATTATTTCACACACTCTCTGCCATGTGGAGAACAAAATTGTTGATGATAAATGTATCTCATGTGCCTAGTCACTTTGGATGAGCTCAATAACTTAACTTAACTCAATAATTTTCTATCTGCGGCCTGAACGGTTCTTCCTGTGAAGCTTGTCTTCTGGTGAGTTTCTGGTGAGCTGGTTTTGACGAGCACATATGTTTGTCCCATTGCTACCTTCCCGTCTGTCGGTGATAAATTACTTCAGGGTACCTCATCTTGCTTCTGTCAAACCAATCAAAGAATTCTTTGAATGGATTGATGGAACTCAATACGTCAGCTTTCCTGTAGGCCTCAACATGCCGAACTGCTTTAGTTAGAGAGGTTTTTCTTTTTCCACTCCAGCGCGTTCAGGACAACCTAGTCAGCAGTTTGCATAATCCCTCGGCATAAGAAAATGTCTGCTCGTGGATTAAGATAAGAGTAATATTGTGTCGGATTTATTGAATGTTGAATAAACACAATCTAAAAACTTTGCCTAAAACTTGACGCAATAGGATTACAGGGCATTTGCCTTGCAATGTAGGACGTGTGATAAGACGACCTCTTATGTCAGGATTTGCTGATGCGCATTCATTTTGTATTTTAAATTGCACGCTATTACCAAACGGTTATTGCATAACTCATATTTGCTCTCCTAAAAATCCTCTAAGTAATTACAATATTCTAGCGTATTGTATGCAGGACGTAGCGCTGCTTCCACACTAGATTTCTACATGTTTAGGAATGAGTGAATGCTCCTTCTGTTCGTATCTGCGGCGAAGGCAGGGGAGAAGGCCGTCTATTGTTTGAGGTTGAAACGGGGACCTTGTAGCAGCTATTTATCTCAATTCAGTGCATCAGTCAGCTTGATGAATTATAAAAGGCTCGCAAGATGGCCAATGGAAAAACGCCACAATGAAGCCAAAAGCCCATTTTTCTGTTCAGATCTGTCTTTGGCAGCATCGGATTGAACAGTTTCCTAGGAGGAGTGGTTTTGTTTTGTTTTTTTGAGGTGTTTAATAGTAGTAGGTCATTTGATGATGATGGTGTTTGTTATTTGGATGGTATTTCATATCACAAAAAGATACTTCTTGACCAAATTGTGCTCCAGTGTGGACCAGACTGTATGCTGATTGTCAAAAGTCTGGCTCAGTGAGATCACGTCCACGTAGTTACCGGCCTGAAAAACAGGAGTGCCTGCAGGGCATCTATCCAACTTGGCAGACGTTGTTACATGAGGTATCTTGGGAGATCATATCTCTTTTAAAAGTGATTGGCTAAAAGGTTCACCATCAATGTTCAAAGGAAAATACAAAGGTGAAATTCTAGGTATTTTTTTTACTCTCTTCCACCCTTTTTATTTTTATAACATTGTAGGAGTCTTGTGTTAATCTTATGAATAATTGAAAAAAATAAATGTATATTTATAAATGTATAGCTAATTATATATTTAATTTGGTAATTAAAGTGTATTGTATAATTTAAGTACAACAATAGAGCTAAAATATAGTATGTTTAAAATTGTTTTATAAGTAGCGTGAAGCTGATTTTTTTTACTTTTCATCTTTTATTATTATTGATGAAGATTATTTGTTTCATCAGTCATAATAAATAAGTTAATAATCATATGTGTATCTTGTTATAACTATCATTCATGAAATTAAAAGAAATTCTTAGGAATCAATAACAAAGATAATATAGATGGTGCCATGATGATGCTTTTTATATTTTAAATTATATTATATTATATTATATTGTGTGTGTGTGTGTGTATAATGTATTTTGTTTTACACTAATAAAAAAATGTTTAGAATAATTATTTGCAATCAATTAAAATTAAAATGGCACTGCAATGATTTTTTGACAGCAAATCAATTTAA